TCTGGTTCTGGGATGAGAGGGCCTGGCTTCAGGTTCTGCCAAACCCATTTCCTTCTTCTGCGTTCCTGTTCACTGTGAGCACAGCCTTTACCCACCGGGCCCTCATGTAAAGCTTGTTTCCCTAGATCACATCTTTACCTAAGTCTGATTTCTCCCAGGAAGCATTTCTTGAGCCCCCACCTATCCCTTTAAAAAAAAGGTTGCTGACCAAGTTATACCTAGGAAGCCTCTGCTCCCTAATTTCTACTCCTCACCCAGATGCTTCCCCGCCCTGACCCGTATCTCATGTCATGGGATCAAATATTTAGGGCTGGAAGGGACCTCAGACATCAGTGATTCTAAACTCCTCATTTTACAGATAAATAAACTGAGGCTGAGAGCTGTTAAGTGATTTGCTCAGGATCACACATCTAATAAGTGGCTGAGGTAGGATTCAAACCCAGATCTTTCTGACACCCAGGTCCAGCATTATCCACTAGACCACACTGCCTCCTCAACTCTTCCAGGATTATGTTTAGGTTAGATGCCTCTTCGACAGGAAATAGCACATAGATATTAATAATAGCAACCAAAAGTGATAATAATTGTAAGGAAAATCCAGCCCCGTGGCTTTCCAAGTCTTTATTTGGGTTATCTGAGACACTGAGAAGCTTTTAGATTTATTCCATTACAAAGTGATCACAGACTCAGCTCCTTGCTGTACCCATGGGCTGAATACCACTTTGCTGGTGCCCCGGTGATTGGGTCACAATGAACCCTGATTGTATACATAACCACAATAAGTGGGTTAACAGCAATAACAACTTGTTGTGTGATGCCTGAAAACCATACATTTAGTTCATCCAGCAGCCCAGACAATCACAGTTGTGGTCTTGCCTGTGCACGGCAGAGTTTCAAAGTGAAACTGTATTTTTTTTTTCCAGTGATTTACTATTTTCATTTCAGAAATAATTATACATGGATAAAAAAGACTGATTAATTTCCATGAGAGAAGAGAAAATATAACTTGGAAAAATGGAAGAATCCTTCCATTTTTCCAGTGATTTACTATTTTCATTTCAGAAATAATTATACATGGATAAAAAAGACTGATTAATTTCCATGAGAGAAGAGAAAATATAACTTGGAAAAATGGAAGAATCCTTCCATACTGTCTAGCTTATGAGGTAGGATGAAGTATACCTTGAAAAGAATAGGAGATCCCCCACTCAATAATGCACCAGTATCTCCCTATCACCAAGATCAAATATAAAATCCTCTATGTTGTGTTCAAAGCCCTTCATAACCTAGACCTCGCCACCTCCACCTTCCCAGCCTCCTTACACCTCATAGCCCCAACATATACTTTTCGATCCAGTGACGTTGGCCATTCCTTGAACAACACTCCTGGCTCAGGGCATTTTCTCTAACTGCCCCACACCTGGAATTCTCTCCATCCTTATCTCTGCCTCCTGGTTTCATGGGCTTCCTTCAGGTTCCAACTGAAACCCCACCTTGTTCAGCCGGGTTGTTGTTCAGTCATTTCAGTTGTGTCTGACTCTTCATGACCCCATTTGGGGTCTTCTTGGCAAAGATGCTGGAGTGGTTTGCCATTTCCTTCTCCAGCTCATTTGACAGATGAGGAAACTGAGGCAACCAAGGTGAAGTGACTTGCCCAGGGTCACACAGCTAGTAAGTGTCTGAGGTCAGATTTGAACTCAGGAAGATGAGTCTTCCTGACTCCAGGCCCAGCATTCTAGTCACTACACCACTTAGCTGCCCCAAGCCTACACTAATTCCTCTTTTTTTAAATTTAATTTAATTTAATTTTTTATTTTTTAATGTTAATTTTTATTTATTTTTTTGTTTTCAACATTTACTTCCACAAGATTTTGAGTTCCAAATTTTCACCCCATCTCGCCCCTCCCCCCACCCCAAGATGGCATGCATTCTAAATATCCCTTCCCCTAGTCTGCCTTCCCTTCTTTCTCTCCCCCCTTCTCTTATCCCCTTCCCCTTCAATTTTCCTGTAGGGCAAGATGGATTTCTGTACCCCATTTCCTGTATTTCTTATTTCCCAGTTGTATGTGACAACATTTTTTTAAACATGTGTTTTTAAAACTTTGGGTTCCAAATTTTCTCCCTTCCTCCCTCCCCACCCACCCTCATTGAAAAGGCAAGCAACTAAATATAGGTTATATATGTGCCGTCATGCAAAACACTTCCGTAGTAGACATGCTGTGAAAAACTAACTCTATTTCCCTTAATCCTATCCCGCCCACCCATTTATTCTATTCTTTCTTTTGACCCTGTCCCTCCTCAGAAGTATTTGCTTCTGATTGCCCCCTTTCCCAATCTGCCCTCCTCTCTATCATTTCCCTGTTCTCCTGTCCCCTTCCCCCCCTGTTTTCCTGTAGGGTAAGACAGATTTCCACACCCAATTGAGTGTGTATGTTATTCCCTCCTTAAGTCAAATCCTCTGAGAATAAGATTCACTCATTCCCTCTCACCTTCCCCCATTTCCCCTCCACTGTAAGAGCCTTTTCTTTTCTGTTTTGTTTTTTTTTTTGTGGGATATTACCCCGTTCTACCTCTCCCTTTCTCCTTCTAGTATATTCCTCTCTCACCCCTTAATTTTATTCTCCAGATATGACCCCTTCATTTTCAACTCACCCTGTGCCCTCTATCTATCTATCTATATCTATATATATGTACATATAATTTTTTCCTCTCCAACTACCCTAATACTGACAAAGGTCTCATGAGTTACAAATATCATCTTTCCATGAAGGAATATAAACAGTTCAACCTTAATAAGTTTCTTATGATTTTCTCTTTCCTGTTTACCTCTTCATGTTCCACTTGAGTCAGAAAGTCCTCTATTTCACTGAATGACCATTTTTCCCCTGAAGGATTATACTCAGTTTTACTGGGTAGATGATTCTTGGTTGTAATCCTATCTCCTTTGCTCTCCGGAATATTACGTTCCATGCCCTGAGGTCCCTTAATGTAGAAGCAGCTAAATCTTGTGTTATCCTGATTGTGTTTCCACAATACTTGAATTGTGCTCAGAAAAAAGCCGTGGCCCCGGGCCACGCTCGGGACTTGATGCTGAGACCTAGCTCCTCTCTCATCGCAGTCACAGACTTTTCCCACTGACCTTCTAAGTTGTCTTTGGCATTCAGGGGTTGAGAAGTCTGGAAACCGCCACAGCTGCCTGTGATTCAGTCCTCTGAGGCCTACTCCAGGGTCGCTGCGGCCTGCGCACCCACGCCGAACTGCGCTCCTCTCCCCACCCGTCACAATAGACCTTTCCAATCAACCATCCAGGCTGTCTTTGGCTGGAAATCTGTTTCACTCTGTCTTTTTGTGGATTCGGCTGCTTTAGAATTTGTTTAGAGCCATTTTTTTTAGGTATTTGGAGGGCTTTGGGAGAGAGCTCAAGACAGTCACTGCTTTCCCTCCGCCATCTTGGCTCTGCCTGTGAAACTGTATTCTACTTGAGAGAAGGAACCCATGGGGAGTTCCCAAAAAAGAATAGTTTGGGGTTCTAGCCAGAGCCCCTTACGGCTCCTGTGAATGACCAGGTATAACACTGCATATGAAATGAAGCAATAGTAGCTAACATTCATATCGTAGCTTTAGGATTTGCAAAGTTCTTTGTACGTAAAATCACATTTGAGTTGATTCTCAGAGTAACCCTGTGATGTAAGTTATACCCATTTTACGGATGAATAAACTGAAGCAAGCAGCAGCGAGGTGACTTGCCCAAGCAAGTCACACAACTAGTAAGTATCTGAGGCAGGATTCAAACTCATATTTTCCAAGCCTGGTATTTTTTCCATTACGTTACAACTCACATTAACCAGAGATGCCACCTCTGAGTGAGCATTAAGAACATGTGTGGCCCTCTAAGCTTTGGAGCTTCATGATCCCCATCTCTTTATTTGGGGGTTTTCTGGCTACTGGCCCACGTAACACCGCATTGCACGTAGTAGGTTATTAATAAATGTTATTGAATGAATTTCTATCAGACCAGACTATAGTCATTGGTGAAAGCCCCCATATCATCCAAATAATAGCTGACATCTATATATAATGCTTTAAAGTTTGTGAAGCACTTTATACACATTATCTCATCTGAGCCTTACAACAACAACCCCTGTGAGGAAGCTACAATGAATATTATCCCCATTTTACAGATGATATAACTGAGGCTGAGTAAGGTCACTCACTTGTAGTCCCACAGGTCGTGTCAGAGGTGACTCTACATCCAACCCTCTATCCATCATGCTGTGAAGCCTCACAAAAAATCCTTCCACCAGGTCCCTAGAATGAGTTTCTGAACAGTACCCCACCTCATTCACCAGACCCCCAGTAGCCTCACCATGATATGTCGCGTGAACTAACCAACAAGCATAACCTTCAAGATCGCCATTGCCCCAGGACCACCAAAGGATCACCCAGCCCCATACTTGGTATTCCCCTAGTGTGAGGGCACCACTATCCTTGCCACCTCCACCTTAAGCGTCTTCTGGATTCATTGGCTCATTCTTACGTCTGCTACTGACCTTTGCTGAGAGAGTCCAAGCCCATTAGGGCCTCACATTGCCACATTTTTTTTTCTTTTTAATTTATTTTATTCTCAATCCACAGAACAAAACAAGCATTTCTGTAACATAGTACAATAAAGAAAAGAAGATTGCACATGAAACTGCAAATCTACCATGTAAAACTTGCTGTTCCCTCCAAATATACAACAAAGTTATCATGTAAATTTCTTTTTTTTCCTTTTTTTTCTCCCCCCCTTCCCTCCCCCCATGGCTACCATTAGACAAATAGGGGTGTGTGTGTGTGTTTGTGTGTGTGTAAAATTATTCTGTATATATACTTCTATTTATCAATTCTTTTCTAGATGCAGACAGCTGCCTCTGTCTGCCCTGCCTCATCTCCAAGAGGATGTTGCGGCCATCCATGGAGCCTGTGTCACCATTATAACGAAAGGTCTCGTTGTGTTTCAGGATGTATCAGGGAATGCTGCATTTCTGGCCTTCACTCCCTTTGGGTTTGTGGTTCTGCAAGGCAACAAGAGAGTTCACTTCATAAAATGGTGAGTGCCTATCATTCCCAAATAGGGTCTTCAAATCTCAGCAGCAGGGAAGGGGGCCCCGGCATCTGTCTCCTTTGCCTGTGGAGGGCCAGAAATGATTCAGGTCATTCTTTAAAGTAGTTTTCACATTTTTAGGCCATGGTCTCATGAGGGAGTCTGATTCCTCCAAAAGAGATTTGCCTAGGGCCAGTTTCACTAGAGACAAATGGGGTATAAAGCCACTAGAATGGACCTGGAAGTCTGAACCTGGGCCCTGGGACCCCATTCAGATATGAAGGTTTGTCTAGGTGACTAATGGGGAAGAAGGAAGGTGAGACTGAAGCTAAGAATAGGGAAAGCAAGAGAGAGTCACAGGAGGTCCGTAATATCCTTTACAGCAACAAAATTGTAGAGAGAACCATGAGCTTTGGGAATTGTCTCCCTCTAGGAGGCCACAGCAGCAACTAACTGACTTAACTTAATAGGACACTCTGGCCTGTCTCAGCAGGCAGTTTCTAATTCCCTTACCCAAACTCCTAACCAGTGATCAAGGTCCGGGCTAAATGTGAGCAGTGCGCTGACTTTTTGTACAGGCGGGAGCTTCCCCATTGCCCCTGCCAAAAACTCCACTTCCACCCCCAGATCTGTAGCTCTGATTCCTTAAGGAAAGGCGCCTGGTAGGGCTACTGTCCCAATTTTAGCTCTGTTGCAGACTGGCCCCTCTGAAGCTCTCTCTGCTTGGGCCCTAGAAGCCTACCATTCATTCCCTCAGATTGACCATCCACCCCCAGCCTTATTGCTGCTGCCTCAGTTGTGGCCCCAGTGAAGCACTCGTCTCCCAGTTCTCTGTGCCTCTAGGGCTGACCACTCTCTTCAGCCCTTTCGTGTGTCTTCGTTCCTGTGTCTGGCTCCTGGGGGCTGACGTGGGTCAGACTCTGCCTTATTATGGTGGCAGGTCCCTAGCCCTGCGATGCCACACGGGCTTTTCCCCAGGAACACCACGCTGCCTTCTTTCTACCTCATCAGGGCGTGGTCCTGTGCTGATTAGCCATGGCTCTGCCTGGCCTCTGCCTGCTTCTCAGCCTACCCACAGGGGTGAGCAGGCAAACTATAAGAATGAGCACAGGAGGCAGCTAGGTGGCGCAGTGGATAGAGCACCGTCCCCGGAGTCAGGAGGACCCGAGTTCAAATCTGGCTTCAGATACTTGATACTTACTAACTCTGTGACCTTAGGTAAGTCACTTAACCCCAATTGCCTTGCAATAAATAAACCAAATTTAAAAAAAAAAGTGAGCATGGAAAGCAAACAGAGCCACGCCCAGGCAGTCCACTCCCCAGTTTGCTGTCCTGAAAAGGACAGTCGTCTGAAAAGTCTACTAAATAACTTACGGGAAACTTGAAGCTATAGCAGGTATTCCCTTGCATTATTATAAAGGTTAGACCACTAAGCCCCCTCAGCACTGCCCTCCAGTGGAAAGGTGATGCACCTTCTTTCCACTTTCTTACTCTTTATAAACGATAGAAACCTGATGGACAGCTCTGAGCACCCAGCCTACTGTCCATTCCCCAGGGCCGGATGTTCACATGCAGAGGTTGCCTGGGACCTGGGTACACAAAACCGTTACCTGGTTTGTCTCTGGATTGCCTGCTTCCCTCTTGGGCGAGCATGGTCAGAGGTCAGGCAGAAAAGGAGCCCTATTCCTGTGGGTATGAAGGTCCTTCGGGACACCCCTCAGGGGCTATATTTAGAGCATAGGCAGGGCTTCAGCTTTCCTGATGGAGGGGGCAGCTCCCTGCTTGAATACCCTTGGATAATCTAGTTTTGATGGAAAATCTAAGTTCCAGCCCTGCAGACTAGATTATACTATAGTTAATAAAACATTATAGGTAATAAGCATATGGCATTTTAAAGTTTGCAAGCACTTTACAAATATCATGTCATTTAATCCTCACAACAATAGTGTGAGGTAGTGCTGGTACTATCCTCATTTTCCAGGTGAGGAAGCTGAGGCTGAGGGACCTTAATTGACTTTCCCAAGCTCTTATATATCTAGTAAATGTCTCAGGTGGAATTTGAACCCAGATCCTCCTGATTCCAAGTCCGCTGCTCAATCCACTGTACCACACTGCCTTCCGAGGGTCCTAGCTTAAGGGGTCTCAAATTCAAACAAGCAGACCACTCGAAGAAGGGGCTTCCCTTCCCTAAATTATTCACACATTCTCAGAAGCAGTGTTGTTCACTGCTCACCAAATTCCCCTGGACAGCCCTCTCCTGAATTTGGAATCCCTCAGATAATCCGCTGTCCATCCCAGCTTCCTCCAGGGAGGATAATCCCGGCATCTTCAGTCTCCCTCACCCGGTTAGTAGATGTCACTTTGTCACTAACCGATGACAATTAGTAGCCTCACTTTGAAGAGGGGGTCCCCTTATCTTCTTTTGTGATTGGTGACCAATGTATTTGTCTACGTATCAGTCAGTTACCACTGATCTCATGTCTGTGTGTGAGAGCAAGAAAGAAAATGAGAAACAGAAAAACAGCACAGTCAGGCTTAGAGATTCTCACAGCAAAGCTGATGGGCAGATGCTCTGAGTCATAATCCTGGTCTAGTCCATGATTGGACAACAGTGAGCAATAATACCCCTCTCTATGTCCCCAAAATTTTTTTCCATCTGCAAAATAGGTGCATTGTTCTCATCTCTTTCTTCTTTTTCCATACCCTTTGATTCCTAGGGTTGTCAGGGGTGTCTGGAAAGAATCAGTAGAGGGGTAGCTAGGTGGCTCAGTGGGTAGAGCACCAGCCCTGGATTCAGGAAGACCCGAGTTCAAATGCGGCCTCAGACATATAGCACTTACTAGCTGTGTGACCCTGGGCAAGTCACTTAACCCCCATTGCCCAACAGAAAAAACAAACAAACAAACAAAAAGAATCAGTAGAAATATCCCTACAAATTACAGGGAGCAAGAAGCCAATGAGTTAAGTTCTCTGTGTAGAATTGGTCCATAGAGGATCTGAGTAACTTGACGATAAGGCCCCAGATAGCAGGGAACAAACAGCGCAGTTCAGGAAGACAGCTGTAATAGGAAAGCATAGGGACACATGTGGTGTAGCAGGGAATGAGAAACAGCTGGATTCTTCAGTTTAGCTTTCATCACACTCCCTGGCACCCACTTTTAGGGCTATGGCACTCTTTTCCCCTTTTGCTAAAGTAAGCCAAACTAAAGAATAAATAATTAATTGAAAATTTTAAAATAATAAAAAATAAAATAAAAAAATAAAGTCAGCCAAACTGAGAACAGTATTTGAATATGAGGTCTGGACCATTTAATGTACAGTAATCGTATCACTTCTTTTGATGTGTATTGCATCCCACTGGTGATGTACCCCAGTATCCTGTTTGCCTTTTTCACTGCAGCCATACACTGGGCTGATGGCTCCAAGGATTTTTCTACAGTAACCCCTAAACCCCTTTCCTGGTCAGTACGCTGCATGACTGTTCCATGTAATCTGTACTATCTCTCTCTCTCTCTCTCTTTCTCTCTCTCTCTCTCTCTCTCTCTGGTTTGTGGCCCCCTCCCTATCCGGATTGATTGTTTTACATGTGTCTGCATTAAACTGCATTTTCCATCCAGTGGCACAGTCACCTGACAGAAGCAGCTCCCTCAGAGCCTGGTGGCCCTTTTTGGTCATTCTTTGCTGTATTTGGAACTCTGGGCTCATCAGCTAACTGTGGCATCTGACATTGGATATCCTCATCCAGATAATGCACCTGTGTTATAAACCAAGTCCTGCAATGACCCCTGGACACTCCACCAAGAACCACTTTCCATCCAGAGATATTTCCCTTTTACAGCCACTGTGGTTGAGCCTGAAATCCTTCTCTATCCCTCTCCCCCACCCCTTACACTTTGGTTGAACAGAAAACTGTAGATTGAAACTGTTCCAGTAACTGTTCCTTTAAACACACTGCGCTGCTGTCTTGTTTCAGTTCTGAATTTGGCTAAAATTGTGTCTGTGCCTGGATGCTCCTCCAGTATAGGCAGGCTCTGTCTCCACAAGGTTCACCTGTCAGGCTAGTGACAGGCATTCTCTTTATTCTTGTAGGAATGAGGTGACCAAGCTGAAATTTGAAGGAAAAACTTTCTATTTATATGTAAGTCAGAAAGAGGTGAGTGACTCCTTCTTTCTCTTCAGGAAGGGTTTGGGAGCTGGGGTGGCTGAAAGTTGCCTGGACTCGACAAGCTAAGTGGTCCCTACCTGGGAAGCTTAGTCCTGGCACCACCGTGGGGATTCTGGGGCTAGAGGCAGAGATGTGTATGCTGTGCACCTTCATTGGTTGTGCTTATAACACCCCGAGGTTTGCTACAGAAGATCCTTAGTACAGGGTCTTCTGTACTACAGCGGAATTATTTTATTTCTTTCCTGGAGCCCAAAACGCAGAATCTTCTACAAGCAACTCAAATTGGCTACTTGTTGGCCAAGGACTGAAAACTTTGGTTTGGTTTCTGGCCATTAAGACAGACTGATACTGATTCTCTAAATTTTGACCTTTCCCCTGAATGTCCTGGTCCACCTTGCCCATGTGCTTCCCTCCACACTCACTTGTTTCTATATGGAATTTTTTTTGTAGGAAAAGAAAATTGTTCTTACATATTTTGCTCCAACACCAGAAGCCTGCAAGCATCTCTGGAAATGTGGAATAGAAAACCAAGCCTTCTACAAGTGAGTCATCTTGGGTTGATGGTGCTTTATTGGAACCAGAGTTATAAAAAGTATTTCTAAAGGAAAGGAAGAGGGGACAGCTAGGTGGCGCAGTGGATAGAGCACTGGCCCTGGATTCAGGAGGACCTGAGTTCAAATCCGGCCTCAGACACATAACACTTACTGGCTATGTGACCGTGGGCAAGTCACTTAACCCCCACTGCCCAACCAAACAAAAAAAAAAGCAAAAAAACAAAAAACCCACTAAAGGAAAGGAAGACAGACTGGTAATAGGAGAAAGGGGGAAGGAAATGGCCTTTGGAAAACCCAACCACCCATTTTGTGTCACTTTGGTTCTGAGCTTTCTGCCCTTCACTAAGGGCAGATACAGGCTGACTGGTTGCATCTATAACTAGGTCTTTTGATACCATTAAGGTGGCATTAGGTGTCTCAGAGCCTATTTTAAAGGTCAAGAGTAATGCCTTTAGGATTCATTATAGCACAGTCACCCCCAACTAGTCTCCTCTGGTTTGACCTTAGAGTTTCCCCTCCCTAAAAAATAAAGGCCCCTCAAGAACAGAACAGTTCTGGAGTTTCTCAGAGATATAGTGTATTTCAAGAAAATGCCAGGGGATCTAGAGTAAACCATGACAATTTTTGACCCTTATGAACCATTCAGAGTTTCTGAAATCATTCTAGCTCTCCCAGAGAACCAAAACACACTCTCATCCACCAGGGCTGCCACAATCCTAATCCAAATCATTGGGATGACTGTCAGGGCCTTGGGTCTACCACATACTTTAAGAATCACCTTGTTGGAACTAACTCGATTATATTCAATGTTGACTGGTACCAATCCCAACATTGTGTCAGGGCTAATGATAACCCCCATGAGAAGTTCCTTGGAGGGGATCCTTGTAAACCCCCAAGAAGTGAGGACTAGTGTTTTTCTTTGGTTAAGTCAAGTGGTTGTCTTAAAAAAAAAAATCAGAGAGCTAAGAAATTTCCCATCTAGAGAGAGGGGAGACACCAGGTAAATTCTGTTTCACAGAAACTCTTGGTCTGGTTTAAAAATAGAATGCAATATCTTATGTTTTTTTACAAGCTGCATTTTAACCAGGAAGATACAAGACAATGTATGTACGGTGTTCTTCCTGGGAATGCTGCCATCAGCAGAGACACCTGCCAGGCAGGCTTTCTTCATTCTGTTCACCTGAAGGGAGAGCACAGTGTTGCTTGCATGCACTGGGTTGGGTCCAACTCCCTGGGGAAGAGAAAGAAACTCATTACCCTGACAGGATCAATGACACTTGCCAACCACAGTAGGACTGGCCAAAACCACGTGCTCAAAGTCATAGAGCTAGTAAGTGCCTGAGGTGGAATCTGAACCCAGGTCCTCCTGACTCCACGTCTACCACTCTTGGCAGCAGAATGACTGCGTCCTCTTTGGATCCATCAGAGTAGTCGTATGTAGGGCTGTTTCCTTCTTAGTCTTTTATTTTTTTCTTTTGCTGTAAATGCTCAGTTGTGTCTATGCATTTGGCCAGAGGACCAGGGATTCTTGAGAAGTCCGGTGTGAATACCACATTGGTGTGGTTCCTGTGTACTCTGAGGCAGCGGCCCAGTTATTTGTACCAAAGAGGAGATGCACTTGTCTGCTGCGAGGGTCTCCACTGATCAAGGAGGGCCAAAGAAGATTGCACCTCAGAACAGCTCAATAACCTTTATCCTAAAGTTGGCAAAGGGCTCTCCAGCTGGGCTTCTTTGCAGTATTCTCCTCCTCCTCCTCCTCCTCCTCCTCCTCTCTGCAACAACAGATGATAGAAGACTCTTCTGCCATCTCTTTTCAAGAGAGTATAGTATATTCTCTCTACTCTTTTTTCTTCTCAGCAACAAGTGGCAGTAGAGAATACCCCCTGCTCCCATTACCTAATTCCTGCCCAACAACAAGCGATAATACATGGAGTTATAACCTCATTAACTCCGTTCTGAAATCTTTCTTTCTGACTTCCTGCTCTGGATCTTCTCTGTGAATGACCCCACCTCAGTTTGTGATTAGTTCCCAAATTCTTATTTTTCTATGATCTAGTAAGTTACATTCGCCTCATAATCGTAGAACAGGTTGAGTGTCCAAAGTTCCCTAGATATTAATCTAAAAGTTCTCCAAGGTATGCTTACTCTTCACTCGTTCCAGTATTCTACAGCTTGTCATGTTCCAAAGAGCAACTACTGTCACAGAATCAGACTTAATTGCAGTAACTGCTTCTCTTAGAACTCTCGAGTAGGCCGATGCCCCAGATAGTGAACTATCAAGGGTTCCATGTTTACAGACGGTCTCTGACCAAGTAACTGTCACCTCTTTTATTCTGGACTCTGTGTGCCTCTGGATAGAGCCTAAGATTCCATTAACTTCATTTTGAGCTTCCTTGACACATTGTTGATTCATGTAGGAGATAGTATCTAATTTCTATAATCAATCCTCAACTTTCACAGGGGTAATGTTTCTAGAAAATGGTGCAAAAGTAAAAAACACAAGTGTTGATACGTTGAACCTATGGGAAGTAGGAGGTTACATTCCTGTGACTAAAAAATACACTTTCCTGCATATAATTCTTTATAATAAAACTTTAATTCTGATAATATATACTCTTCCTAACACGTAACCCATAAAATGCAGTACACAAAATAAAATTGGTAACCTGCAAAACATTTTTCTCCCTAATAATTCCCTAGAATTCTGTGACCTTTTGTGCTAACATCTCAATAAAAAAATTGATTTCAGGCAATAATCACTTTTCATAACACATGTAATGTACACTACCATAAATAATTTCCTGTTTTTTGTAGATATACCAAATTGCCAATTCATTAACACCAAACACACGGCTGACAATGGCTGGTAGACATTCCAACACAAAGTTTATCTAACATCTTTACTTTCTCACTAGCTCCATCACTGACTTTGCATGTTTGGGCTTAGAGCCCAAACTATGCTTTGGGGGCATAATTACAACAAAAACTTGAGTTTTAAAGGCAAACAATGAAGATAGGTAACAAATGTATGGGAAGCTCTTTACAAATGGTAGGGTGAGACAGACCAGTGAAGTGCAAAGTAGGGTACCAACGACTCCACAAACTTACATGCATCATTCCTCTCATTTTTTTCTCTACTACACATAGCTGCAAATGTATGAAGTTGCCAACGCAAAAGTGAAAATGACGTTACTAATAAAATCATGCAAATGCTTAAAGTCATGAAAGTTAAACGTGAATGTTGAGGATTGACTATATTTTGTTTTTGCCCATGTAGGTTATTTGTGCCCACATGGGTCTATCTAAACATGGCTTAAAGGAAGGCAAGAATAGACTTCTCTAGCATCTCCTCCTCCATCTTTCTCCAAAGAAGACTTTAATTCCTGTCAGGAGAGAAAGCCAGAGATTGGACACTCTGCTCTTCTCAGAGAGAGGGGATGCCAGGCTAGAATTATACCTATCAGCTCCCTCAAATATGATTGGTCTGGGGGAAGTAACTTTTATGTCCAAGCTATGTCCTTATTTCTATCCTTTAATAGGAAAGGAAGGCCCCGAGCTGCATATCCAAGGCTTTACTCCTCACCAAATGCCAGATGAACAATAAACACACATAGCAAATAAACCCATTTAACTCATTTGTTGGTAGCAAAAAAAAAAAACCCAGAGAGACTACACAGAGAAGAATATATACTAGACAGCATAGAGTGAATGAGCTCTCCCCTTGAGAGAGAGATAACTTAGTTCAACCAATGAAGAGTCCCAGATCTCACCGATGGAATAATTCCCCAAAATTCCTAGTGTAGTAAGCTGGGGATAAGGACATGATAGAGATGGTCAGTTCATCTGCATGTCAGCTTCTTCCCAGAGTTTTTCTTTCCCCAGATCCCTAAAGGGAATTTGGAATAGTGTGTCTTCTCTTTCAGCACTAGAAGCCCCACGACCCTGGATGTCCTTTATCTCCAGCTCTCACCAACTTTGCCTGCCACTCAAGCCACACAGGCTTGGAGCACTGAGGAATCGATCTCCACCAGTGAAAAGAGTCCCATATAATTGGTCTTGTGAGTCAAGGGTTACACTCATAGAAAGTCTTCTAAGACCAAAAAACCTTTTCACATGAAATATTGTCTGCTCTCCTTTAACCTTTCCTGGTCGAGTTGATTTTTGGAACCTAAATGTAGGACTTTACATTTACAACTATTAAATTTTTTTTACTAAAATCAGTCCATCATTCTGTGCCTGTCAAGATCTTTTTGAATCCTGGCTTTTTCCTCTAACATGTTAATTCTTCTTCCTAGCTTTGGGTCTGAAAATTCAATAATGGAAGCCTATGCCTCCATTTAAGTAGCTGATACAAGGTGCTGAACAGCATATACCCAAGGGGAAAACCTTTGGGATACTTCACTAGAGTCCTTCTTCTAGCCAGGCTATTATCAGTTATTAATCACTACACTTTGAGTCCAGTCATTCAACCAAGTCTACTATCTACCTTACTCTTTTACCACATATTACTCTATCATGATATATATTTCTCTATTATCTATTAAGTATGAGAGGCTTTTTAACAAATGCTTTCCTGAAAATCAAGTATACTACATCTGTTTCCCTTTCTGAATACTCGCAAACCATTCTTTTAATAATAATATGTTCTAGAATTTTTGCCAGAAATTAAAATTAGACTGGCTGACCTATATTTCAAAGAATCTATCATCTAAATTTTTTTTTAACTGTGGCATTTGCGTATTTCCAGAACTGGGGCACCTTTTCCATTCACTGTAATTTTTCAAAGATTAATAGTGGCCCATAAAAATTACCTCTGCCAGTTCTTTCAATACCCTGGGATGTAATTCATCTGGCTCTGATTACATGAATTCATCAAAAGCTCTGTTACCCATTTCTATCTTGTGTTTCATCTCCCTGTTAGCAATTTTTTTTCTATTCCTCATCCAGAGATTGTTTTCCTTGATAGAGAAAGTAGAAGCAAAGTAAGAATTGAGTAGTTTTATCTTCTCACCATTGTCCATTACCATTTCTTATCCATCCCAAGCAGTGATCCTATTCCTTTTTTGAAGTTCTTGCCCCCAACATAGCTGGAAAACGCCCTTTTTGTTGTCTTTAGCATTTATCCAAGTTTCTGAGTTTTTGTGCTTTTAATACTATTCTTTTATAACTCAGCCACTCTTTTCCATTCATTCTAGGTTACCCTTGCTTTTTTATCCTGTACAAGTGTTTTTTAGGTCCAGATTGTTCAGTGAGCTCTCTATGTATACATATTCTCATCAGCTATTTCCTCTTTCCTTCTTCACTCAAATTGTGTTTATTACATCAAATTTTGTTCTTAAAAGCCTCCCTGTTCCTCATGGGCCTACATTCCCTATAACATTTTAGTTCATGGGACCCTACCTGTCTTTTTTCTAAACTCTGAAATCTACTCTTCCAAATCTAGCATGCATATCAGACTGTATCTGACTTTTCCATCTCTTAAGTGGCATGGCCAATTCCATTAAAGGTTCCCATAATTTCTAATTCAGCCACCATTTTCTCCTTATTGGTCGGAATGAAGTCTACAATAGCAGTTCTTCTTATTGCCTCCTCTACCTTTTGAAGAATCAAGTCAAGATATCAACTCCTCTGCTTTTATCAGATAGAGTTTTTATGGTTGTCTGCATAGTTGAAACTACCCATTATTAATATACCATTTCTCTGTTCCAGATTTGTGGGCTATTTAATAACATCATTATCCATTTCCTCCTTCTCTCTGTTTTTTTCCCTCTTATTTTTTTTCCTAATCCCTCTGTCTTTCCCTAACTAATGCTCTTCCCCATGCTTTCTCCCTCTGATTACTGGATTTTCCCATAAGAGTTCAGTATATCCTCTTATATACAAAATTACTCCACAATCCCTTTAAGCTAATCTATTCCTTTTCCAAAACCATAAATTACAAACCACCAAATCTCAGTGTTACCTCCAAAGTTGAATTTCCTTCTTTGCAGCAATATCACTAGTCTACTTTATTTGCCATACCCTGCATATTTGTGTATGTACAACTAAGGCAATTGTACCTGTAAAATAATTTCGTTTTTCATAAAGAAAATGTTATTCAGTGCATATGTTTTAAAGTATCATAAGGATGTTAAATGTTTTGTCAAAGCAGAGTCACCTAAATTAGTGAGGCCCTTGATTCATTTCTTATCACATAACTCAGTATAGTTTTTGAAAGAGAAACCCACATCTCATGTTCAACTTCTAGTTTGTTTTTTACTTTGGATTTGATTGAGAACAGGACTGAGAATCCTGATTCACTGTGATAAACTGTCAGTCTTCACTGGGAATATTTCAATAGGATAATTATAGTTTGTTTTTTAAACCATACCCTCATGACAAGTCTTGTATCTGCTTCTGGGTGCCCATACCCCAGGTTTGGAACCCCCTTGTACGAGATTCCTTCTGTGTCAAATAGTTCTTGATTCTGTCATACTTGACGTTCCCAATGTTTAAGACCTCAGTTCTGTTGATGTTTCTGTGTATATATGTTAAAGGGGTATGGGGCAAAGGGGAGGGAAGGTTTATAGAGCCGGATGACACCTTAGAGATAATCTGATCCAGGGCTTCTTAACCTGGGGTCTCTGGACACACATACCTCCTTCTCCCCTCCCCTCTCCACCCCACTCCCCTGCCACCAAGAAGTATATGGACAGATTTTGAAGTGTCCATGAATCTGAATGGGAAAAAAATTGCACCTTTATTTCTATATAAATGGCTTCCTTTATAATTCTACATATTTTATTTTATGCATTTAAAAATGTTTTTTTTTCTGAAAAGGGGTCCATAGGCTTCACCAGACTGCTGAAGAGGTCCATAATACAAAATAGGTTAAGAACTCTTGATTTAATACAGCCCCCTAATTTTGTAGATGAGGAAACTGAGACCAAAAAAGTTAAACATCTTCCCCGAAGTTACACAAGTAATAAAAGAGCAGAACTGAGTGTCTGACCTAGGTTCTTGGACTCCAAAACAAGTATTTTCTCCATTACATCATTTTTATTGGCCCCAGGCTCACGAACGCTCATGCACAGTTCTAGAGACAAACACCAGGTCAGGTAGCTGGTTCTTACACCCCCTCTCTTCCTGTCCAGTCCCTCCTGCCTCTCCCTTTGGGTAGTCTTAATAGTTCTTCCTCTTGTACCAGGGAGGATGAGGGAAATGTTGGTGCAAAACTCCCCCATTTGTCCTTGAACTTAGGCACAACAGAGGTAAGTGAGCAAGGACTTTTTCTGTTCTACACACACACACACACACACACACACACACACACACACACACACACGTCATGCTCAGGGTAGGGAGGGTACCAAATATTTCTCTCCCAAATATTTCCAGATTGCATTTTCTTCAAAAGAACTTTGAAAAGAGTTAAAAAGGTGATGCCTCCTCAGCATGAATTGTGACGCTTTCCACAAATCTGGGCTTTGTCTTGCTACAGGTTGGAGAAGTCAAGCCAGGTCCGCACCGTCTCCAGCAGCAATTTATTCTTCAAAGGGAGCCGGTTCCGATACAGGTAAATAGTGACAGTAAGTAGCAGTTAATGGACCTCTTTTCAGACCCTTCTCCAGAGAGCAGTCACTTGGTGTTCTTTGCCCTCTGAATTGAGAGATTAGAGGCTTCTACTGAAAATCCCAATTTTTCCCCTCATTATTCTGTCCCCATGTTTCCAGATGGCCTCCTGATTCCTTGCCTCACATTCCCTTGTTTGAGCCCTCAAACAAGACTTAGGGTTCCAAATAAAAATGCTCCTTCTCCTTCAGCTTACAATTTTGTGTCTCCTGGGATCAGTTCTTAAAATGTCTTTAATCTGGGATCATTCATTTTTATTTATGCTCTCTATGTGCCAGGCTCTATGCTAGGCTCTTGAGATACAAGTACAACAAATAAAACATTCCCTGCTTCCAGTGAGCTAACTTCGTAATTGGGTGGGGGTGTGTGTGCGGATTTTGTGGCTATGAGAGGCAGTTTCTTATAGTAGATATGAATACTGGACTTGAAATCAGGAAGACCTGACTCAAATCTTGCCTCATTAGGTGTATGACCTTGGGCAAGTCACTAAAACTTGTCTGCCTCAGTTTGCTCATCTGTAAAATGGAAATAGTAATAGCATCTACCTCACTAGGTTCATGAGATAGTTGTGAGGATCAAATGGGCATTTATGTAAAGTACTATGTAACTATTAGCTGTGATTGTGGGGTTTGGGTTTTTTGTGGGTTTTTTGGTGGAATGACACCTTTTCTCCCAAACTTTGCCTTGCTTTCCTGCATCCTATATGCCCACTGAAGAGAAGGTACATTATTCATTGCCAGGCCCGGAACATGACACAGCTCCCAAGGATGGGGAGGGAGGTGCCTCTATGGGTAACTATCAGGGGATTTGGAACTTCTATACGCCATCAAGCAAGCCTTTCTCAGTGACTAGGCTATTATAAAAGATGCCATTACCTTTCATCACGACTTAGTCACTCTGCCTGCAACCCTGGCAGTGGCAAAGATTAGGGGGACAGAGGAGTGGGTTGCCTCACACCCATCCTGTTGGGATAGCTATGGTAATCTGTGGACCCAGTCCTTACATGTTTTTTCACTTCTTGTTGCTGTTTTTCATTCTCAAATTGCTTTCAGTGGCCGAGTGGCAAAGGAGGTGATGGAATCTAGCGCCAAGATTAAAAGGGAACCACCAGAAATACACAGGTAAGAGGAGTAGGGACCCTCCCAGAGCTAACTCCTAAAGACTAGCGCGTTGGAGGAGTGAGCCAGAAGTCATCGGGGTCCTGGATCCCCTCTCCCCCCCCCAACAAAGGCCCTTGGTAGAAGACAGTAAAGGAAGTCCAGTAGGATGGGTGGGGAACTCACCCAGGCAGATTCCATCCCCCAGAGAGTGGGCAGGTTTAGGCTTAATTGTGGAGCACTTGTGAGTTCTCAAAGAGGCCCAAGAAGTCCTGTCTTCCTGGAATAGGGAAAGCTCTACATGGTATTCCCCAAAAATGGGAATCTGGATTCAACCAGTCTAAAGTCATAGACATTCATGCACTCTATGCTTTGGTGAAAACTGTATCCAGGATTAGAGGATCTGTCTCAAGACATGGGATAGGATGGACATGACGGGGAGCCAAAAGCAGGAGGCCCTGAGCAAGGTGTCCCCAAAGCATTGTCCTTGGTGGAAGAACACTGTGTTCCTTTCAAGGAACTTGTAGAAACCCTTGCTGTCAATCTTCTGAAACAGCTGATCCAGATAACATTTTCCAGGGCTCCCAGAGCCCAAGTCAGCATCATGCTTCAGAAAGGACCGATCAGTTTCTCCAAGACCCAACAAAAAGATCTGTTGTGTCTGTAGTTGTTCATTTTAAAAGGCTGGATACTGGCCCTCTCTAACTGGAGAGGCAGTGGATCAGGGTGGGAGTATACAATTGGTCTGAGTTACATGGAGGCAGACCCTATAAACCACATTGGGGCATTTGGGGATACCCAGATCTGAGAGAAGTGCCCCTCCCTCCCCTAGGTTGCAATCTTCTGTGTTCTATCATTATTCTGGAACCAATCGATTATTCAATCAAGTTTTAATTTATGCTTCCCATTTGCCAGGCCCTGTGCCAGGCTCTGAGGATACAAGCACAACAAATAAAACATTCCCTGTTTACCGTGAGTTTACATTCTAATGGAGGAGACAAGTACATGTTAAAATGTATACAGCTTAAAGTTCAGAAAGAGAGAAATTAAATATTAGGTAGTTTGGTAGGGAGGCACTATCCATTCATTGAAGACTCAGGAAAAGTTTCAACCAGAAGAAGGTGACCAAATTGCAGTCTTAAAGGAAGGGGGACTCTAGAGGATGGAGATAAGGAGGAAATGTATTCTAAGTGTGTTCGCACAGCCAGTGTGAAAAGCACAGTGGTAGGAGAAGGATTGTCGTGAGATGTATACAGAGAGACCAGTTTGTCTGGATTGCAAAGGTTGGGGGTAGGTGGGGAATAACATCCAATGAAACTGGACATATAGGTTAAGGCCAGGTTCTGAAATGCTTTAAGTACTAAACAGAGAAGTTTATATTTTATCCTAGATGCAATAGGAGTCAGCTGGTGTTGGTGCAAAACTCCCCCATTTGTCTCTGCCTAGAGGAAAGATTGAGCATAAGGGGACTTAGGTCCTTTAACTGTGCATTTGTCTAGAACCTGAAATCACAGAGAAGCAGAGGTGCAGTGAAAGAGAATGAGACATATGTGGCCAGGCAATTCATGCAGCTTTCTGGTCTTCCTAACCCCCTACCCACAATCCCTCCCTGCCCTTTGGCTTTTGGATTAAGAGGTTTTTCTTCTTCCACCTGTCCTCAGGGCCGGAATGGTGCCCAGCCGGAGCTGCCCTTCCATCACCCACGGACCAAGGTTGAGCAGCGTCCCCAGGACCCGCCGAAGAGCTGTTCACATCTCCATCATGGAAGGTGAGATTCTCCTTGGGTAGGGGGAGATAAACGGTCCTTCACTGTTCACACCGTTGAGGCAACATATGATGGGTAGAGCACTGGACTTGAAGTCAGAACGACCAGCGTTTAAATCCCACCTCAGACACTTATTAGCTATTTGCTTATGGGCAAGTCACTTACCCTGTACCTGGATTTCATCTTCAGAATGAGGATGGTTGGTCTTGGTGGTCTCTAAAGCACCTTCCAGATCTAAACCTATGACTCTCTGATCAACTTCTGGGATTCCTCTCTTAATATTTGAGTGTGGCATTTCTGAGCTTCTAGCTTTTCTGAAAATGGGACAGGTGCCATTAGAAGCAGCTGCAAGTTTCTTTCAGTGGAATGAGACTGTAATTGTTAAGGATATCCCATGGCTCTGAGAAAAATGGTTCCACACACAGACACATACATACACACACACACAGACACACACAGACACAGACACACACACACACACACACACACACACACACACATACACTTTCCATCTTGGGGAGCCAAATGGAAGAAACAGAGGAAATAGGGAGTGCCTCCTTTCTCTTCCCTCCGTGGAAAAACTTTTCCAAGCCCAGGCCTAAACGTATGGCACTTCTCTGTATTTGGCTTTGGGATCTGATTCTATCTGAGAAACTGAGAGTCACTTTAGGCCCACCCCAGTAATGAAGGTATACTAAGCGGCACAGGGAAGCAGCTTCCTGTGAAAAAATCAGCTAACAGCACCAGTCACATGCCAACCAGCTCTTGTGAATGCTGACTGTCTATCCCTCTGTCTGCTTAGTGGAGCCAGAACTCAAGACCATCACATTTGGGGTTGACTGATTACTCTGATGATTAGAAAGAAACTTGCAGATCCCAGGGAGTTCCTGACTTATTTCTCACATTAAAGAAACCTCACAAAAAAAATTTTTTTTTAAAAGAAAAAGAAACCTCGCTTATTTTGCCCTGTTTTGATCAAATCTCCATACCCTAATGAGACAGCCATTGAGGCAGAAAACAAGGTAAATAGAAATTGGTTTTGTTCTGTATTATTCAAATAATTACCTTAACTTCTGGCTTCTTGGCTTCATTTGAGTGGTAGAGATGTAACTTTTTGCCACTTGAATCCCTCATCATTATTCCTGGAAATCCAGTCTATTTCAGTCATTCTATACTTGCTCTTTTGTCCTTCCCCTCCCTTCAGAGAAGAGTGTGAATGTGTCTGTGTGTCTATAGGTCTTCATTGAACTGGCTGTTCAGATAACGAAGGCCAAAACCTCCATAGTCTCCTGGGGGTTAACACAATTTAGGGGGTTGCTCTGACTGTTACTCCTTGGCCGCTGGTGCTAACCCAGCCCCTCCTGCATGCTGAGGAAAGGCGGAAAGTTTGGTACATTCTCCCTGAATGGCAGTGGTCTTTTTTTAATAGGCTATCGGAAGGTCTCAAAGAGCAAGAACAAAAATAGCTAGCTAGCACGGCTTCAGCCTCGTCTCCCTCTGTGATCATAGGGAGCTGTGTGCTCTGTTTCTGAGAATTCCTAAAAATGGTGGCCTCCTCAGAAGAGACCGAACTACCAGCGAGAAAAAAGACCCCTTCTCCACTCTTGGTGGAAGTTGTATGATGGGTGACACTACTCAATTCAACAAGTTAACAAGGCTTCGTTAAGCAATTACTCTGTGCCAGGTGCTGCTCCAAAGGAGCTTACAACCTAACAAGGGAAGAAGAAACATAAAAAGATGCTCAAAAGCTGGGGTGGGAGATAGGAGAGGAGAGAGAAGTTGCTTGTGCAGGGACATGGTAAAGTTATGAGTGGAGCCCAGAGAGGACTACTGCTGTGTATTTCAGGTATTTGTCATGCCTTTAAGACTCTCCTCCAGCCCTCCACTTTGTGGTATGGAAGTGGCCTTGGGTTCTCAGAAGAGAGGAATGAAGACATGGCTGGCCCAAGCGCCTTCTTTGAAATGGAGGTTCTGGGAGGAGCCAGCCAAGCAGAGGAAGGGGCCCACAGGTGAAGAGGCTGCAGAACTTCCAGGGAAAGTCATGAGTGGAACCCAGAGAGAACTACTACTGTCTGTTTCAAGGATTTGTCATGACATTATGACCCTCCTCCAGTGCTCCTCTTTGTGGCACAGAAGTGGCCTTGGGTTCTCAACAGAGGTGGAACAGAAACTCTGGCGACCGTTAATCAAGCCAACAGGCAGCTGTAGGCCTTGTAGGGAGCTGTGGTTATAACTGTGATCTGAGCCCCAGCTTATCTGAGAGACTTGTCACATGATTAGTTACTTAGCCACAACATCTCTTAAGAGATCACCTGCTAGGAAAACATTGTACACAGTGACAGCAACATTGTGCAGTCATCAGCTATGATAGACTTAGCTCTTCTCAGCAATACAATGATCCAAGACAGTTTCAGAAGACTCATAATGGAAAATGCTATCCACATCCAGAAAAAGAACTATGAAGTCTGAAAGCAAATCTCATTTCTTTTCACTATTTTCATTTTTGGGGTTTGTTTGTTTTTTTCGTGGTGTTTCCCTTCTGTTCTGTTTGTTCTTTCACAACACGACTAATGTCGAAATACGCTTAACATGATTGTACATGTAAAACCTATATTAGATTGTCTGCTGTCTTGGGGAGGGGAGTTGAGAGGGAGAAAAATTTGGAACTCAAAATCTTATAATAAATGAATGTTGAAGACCATCTTTACATGTAATTGGAAAAAATAAAATACTATTTACAAAAAAGAGAGAGAGATCACCTGCTCCACATCGTAGAGGAATTCTATCTCAGGAAGTTGAGAGATCCCTTTTTAAATTATAGATTATTTCACATACTGAAATAAGGTATGACATAAAAATTCAAAGATAGGACTTTGGATAGGCATTTCCTTTGGTCCAAATTATTCAACAACTTGTGAATACCTGGAGGTGAACAGGACTGGTAGCCTAAGCACCATCCACTGTAAAATGGGAATGAGAGGCTATACTGTTTGGTAGTCAGACTATCTCTGATACTTAATAGCTTTGTGACTATGGACAAATTACTTAACTTCTCTAATGATGTTTTTTCATTTCTAAAATGGGAATGATAATAGCTGTGGGTACTTTGGAAGAAAAATACTTCACATTTTTGAGCACAAGCCTACTAGAGATAATTTTGTTGATTAGATTATTCTAATTATAAGCATATCTGCTTAAATAGAGAAAATCCAAAGGGACGGAAATCCATCCTGACTTTGTAAACCTCTCTGTGACATAAGCCATTTTCAGTTACAATTTATAGTACAGGTAGGTTCTGATTAGTGTGAATATTGCCCCCCACTCCTCTGCCAATGAGATCACATGTATTTGAATTCATATTGTTAAAAATTATAAATGTGTAAAGTATGGAAATATGGAGCACAAATTCAAATTCTATGAATTCTTCAGGGGATTTGTTATTCCCACCAATCAGGACCTTGCTGTATTTAACCCTAAAAGGGGCAAAATCCCACAATAAGTTAAACATAGTTACAAAGTTCACGTGAAAGTTTAGGTAACAGTTTCGATTCATCAAACATCAAACATGCATCCTACAGAAGAATCATTTCCCTAAATCCAGTTAAGGGTGAAGATAGGTTAATAACCTTACATATATTCAGGTGTCCCTGCTCTAAATTGGCTACCATGCTTATCCATTTTGTAGAACCTTAGTGGTTTTTTTCTTAAATTTGTACCTGGTTTCCTCTTAAAGTAGTTTGGTATTTGGTAAATATAGGCCCTGGAGTCAGGAGGACCAGAGTTCAAATCCAGCCTCAGACATTTACTAGCTGTGTGACACTGGGCAAGTCACTTAATGCCAGTTGCTTCAAAAAAAAAAAAGGTACAGATGACACAAAAATTTCAGTGTGTAGTTTCAGAATTGGTAGTTAAAGAAAGTGATTTCCTTATCCCAATTAGACCAAAAACTTCAGATGAAAGGGCTGTCCTAATAGAGGAATCTCAGCATCCTTTCACAGTATTATCTCCAGGGTTGCTATCAGACCCAGATGAGATGTTTTCAGGATGCTTGCAAGGTTTAAAGCACTATAATATTATCAGTAATTATCATTAGCCTTACCCAAGATGGGCATGTTATCCAAATTCTTAAAAATAGAAGCCCACAAGGGCAGCTCGGTATCGCAGTGGATAGAGCACTGGCCCTGGAGTCAGGAAGACCTGAGTTCAAATCCAGCCTCAGACACATAACACTAGCTGTGTGACTCTGGGCAAGTCACTTAAACCCAATTGCCACACACACACACACACACACACACACACACACACACACACACACACAAATAGAAGCCCAGAATTGCTGGAGACCTAAGCTTGGTTGTGAATACACAGAGGATTTGAGCTTTAAAGCTAACAGTGAAAGAGAGTTGGTTCAGGGTCCTGGCAAGTAGTCTGAGGGGTAGAAAGTCCAGGCAAAATCTGGGCAGAGACATGCTTCCTTTACTCTAGGAAATGAATGGAAAGGAAAAGATATGGCTTTCAAGTGCTGAGTACATACAGCAAAAATTAATCCTATGGAAAGAGGGACAGCTTTATTCCCAGGAGTTCTTTGGAAACAGAATCACTCCAGGGTAGATAGATTTCACTTCTGGAATTCGGCTGAATGGGGAGGATATGTGACAGCCACAAAGAAAAGACCATTGACTCATCTCATCACGGGCTCAAGAACCAAAGGTCAGGTACTAACCAGCTAAAACCCCAAGGAATTCATGTATATTGGAAAACTGGGCTCTGTGCTTTGTCCAGGATTCCCAACAGTTTAGAAGTGGCTTATCTCAAGTTTAAGAAGAGGGAAGAAAGGAAGGGTGGAGCTATACACTGTTTTGTTGATTTCCTGAATCCCTGAAAGGGAATTTCACCCAACTTGAAGCACACCTCAGCCTGGCCAGTCTGGGGTGACACCATCTTCCAATGCATCAATGTTGCCAAGGACTCCGAAAACAGCATCAAGAATGTGGATGAGGCAT